TGTAACAATGCATCTGAAGCACATTGTAGGAAGAATTTAGATAGTCGCATTTCTTCATCACAGGTTCTTTAAGCATCATCAGCAGCATTTCAGATAAAACAAGATAGGAAAAGATCCCTAATTTATCAGTTATTTGCAGCAGTTCTTGTGTGGTGCATTTTATTTCTTTAAAGCAGAGAGAACAGAACTTTTCACTCACATTTGGGGTTGCTGGGATATCTGGAGCGTATTCTGCCAAGAGACCCAGGGATGAGGATGATGTCATCAACAGTGGTCAAGTAGTTGCTGAGGAACTCTGTGCGATCACAGTGAGCCTCTTCCATACCTGAAACATCGCAGGAGAAGAAGGCTGATGTCAAACTCTGAAGGAAACAAACTTTTCAATGATGGAAATCATCTAATTGGATTCTTGCTTTCCTTTTCTGGAAAAGTCTGTAGGCTGGAGTTCATCCTACTCAGTAGATTCACTGCCAGAATGATTCTCCTATTGGTTGACCCACTTTATTCTACCAATCATTGTTTATAATCAACCAGCAGCATCACTGTGGAAACTGACACAAATACAGGTTTCAAAGTCATTGTTTCCAGTGTTGATGTTAGTCCTTCCAATCTTCTGGAATTGTCTCTGAAGTGTCGGATATCATCATCTGCACCAAACTCCTGACTGATGGCAATCCGTTCTGGTCTTCTGAGTTCTTGGACTTGCCTCCAGTTTGTTGTCTTGTGTTTCTTCTATACAAGATTTACTGAGTTTCCACTGATTTATGGATTTATGGAGTTTCCACACCACAGATCCAAATTTTCACCCTTTGAGCCACTCTGTTATAACTTTAGCCATGTGACACTGAGCTCCATCATGCTGGAAAATCCACCGATCGTGACTAAGTTGTTCCTTGGAAAATATTTTGTTCCCATTCTTTATATTCATGGGCAGAAGTAGGAGGAAGCCTGCTGCTTTCTTGGAGGCACAAGCCCAATCCATGGCATTTCATTTCTTCTTCTCTGGAGAAATGATTTTTCACTTCTCCAGAAATTAAAAGTAATTTCTGGAGAAATTATCTCCCAATTAGATGCATTTAGACCATCGCTGTTCAATCGAATTCTGGACCGTTTGTTCAGAAAGTCCAGATCAGTTGGGTTGATCTTAATGTACGACCTGTATCTGTCCACATACAGATACAGGTCTTGGTCCTATTCAAGTAAACCAAATGCAGGGAGCAGAATAAACCACAGAGCCTTGTGGGTAAACACAACCAAAACAAAGGCTTGAATAGCCATCCGCATAATGAGTTAAAAGCTGACAGAAACATCGTCAGGTCAGCTGCTGGTAATTTCAAGCTAATCAGGAAAATGCAGGCTGTGGAGCTGAACCGTACAGTAGAGTAGTGCCACACGTAGCTGAAAACATCATGAGCTGCTGAGTTCAGGAGACAGACAGGACAAGCGTGGCTCTCTGGGGACCACCTCAGGCGAGGAGGGGAACACAAAGGACAAAGGCTCTGGTTTCAATGTGGTAACCCAACCGTACCGTGTCTACTGGGCTATTAGTTATAGAAAAAAAAAAACACCTCAAACAACATTTGAGTCCCTGCTTGTCTATAGATGCCAAGCAGGGACTCAAATAGATGTTTTTCAGCTGATCAAATTAGAAGCTCTTCAGCTAAAGTCATAAATAAAAAGAGGAACAATCAGAATTTGAGATGAGGGTTTGGACTCAGGGCCTGTGTCTGTACCATGGTCTCCCACCAGGATGATGTTGACACATCGGTGCAGTTTCATCTGTTTGAGTCCGTCCATCAGCTGGCCCACAATCCGATCAATCGCCCTCAGAGGATTGTTAAGCTGGAAGAGGATGAAGGAAGCCGTGAGCGACCAAACCCACTCAGGATCAGAATCTCCTGGAACAAACATACTCACGTCTGCACTCATTGGGCCCACTTTGTGTCCATAAGTGTCTGGTTGCTCAGAGTGCATGGCATAAACATAGGGCCTGAAACAGAATACAGGTGAAATGCGTGTTAGCTGAACTTGTGGTGTCCTATATAAAGTTACAACTATTGGCTTAGAAGTGGATCAAATCCTGAGCAGAAGATGGGTTATGTTGTGTCAGATATGCTTAAGAACTGTTTGCAAATGATTATTTCATTCATCAGGTTGGTTCTTCAGACCAACCTGGCTCTATGTTAAGAAGTTATTGACCAAATTATTAGATCATGAAGTAACTACAAATATGATTTATTTTTTGTTTAATTTCAACAACCTTTAGCTCAGGCCTGATTAATGCCAAATCTAAAGAAACAATAAATTACTTATGTAAGAACTAGTTCAGAATGACATTTTGAACTTGGAATGTGTAAGTGGGGAACTTTGAACATGAACAAATTCAATTTGATCTGACTGAACTGAATTAAAACTAGTTCTTGTTAAGGAAGAACTGGAGTAACACTGTCAGGTTTAGAGAGTGATTATTAGGCCTAGGTTGACTGATGATCAGTAACTGCTGAGACAGACTAAAAAGCAAAGACAGGACAAAAATGTGAACTAGGATTGTTTCAGTGAGAGGAAAGTACGACCAGAGAAACATATGTGTGAATGTGATCACCTCTCTCCTTCAGGGAGATGGAGCCACTGCAGCAAAGTCAGGATCCTCCTCTCCAAAGGAATGGCCCTACAAACGGACAGAAATACATTCTGCTGTTAAAGCCTCCACATTCTGATATTAATTCTAAAGCTATGAGGGGGCAACATTTAGGACAAACAAAACATTTTTAATTATTACATTTTACGTCAGTTTCAACTTTACAGGAAAAAAATCCTGATCTCAATAAAAGCTCACGCTTTGATGTTTGTTCAAGAGAAGGGATGAATTCACTCAGCTGATTTTCTCAAAACTGAAAAGTATTTTCCAGTGTTAAATGCCAATAAAACAAAAAATATGTCAGAAGAAATATATTTATTAATGTCTTCAAAATCATCATCATATTTGATATCATTAGCATTTTATAACAAATGAAGGTAACATAGTTACTTGGTTGTGCTATAAAATGTCACTATGTGAGTGCCTGGAAAACACATACTGCCCCCTTAAAAGGTTTGAACGATCCTAACTTGGGTCGTTGTGGCTTTCAGGCTAAAGCTGCCTCTGTGAAGTGAGGAGGGCCCCGGCCAAGTTCCTGGCTCTCATACAGTCTCCAGCTGTCAACCATCAGTCCTCAACATTTTGCTTTTTGTAGCAATCAACAAGGCATTAGTCTGGCAGTATATTTGAAAAGATAAATATCTGCTTGGGTTTTTGGATATTTGAACTCCAACAATAAGAACTCCAACAATTCTACCAGGAATAACTTCCTGGTAGAATTGTTGGAGTTCTTATTAACTGATTGGCTTTCTGTTATGGACCGGGTTTTTAATCGCAGCCCAAAAACATTTTAGGTTTGCGGTCAGGGCCATTCCAGAAGGTTCTGCTTTTTTATGAGTGTTTTGGATCACTGCACTGTTGGAACACTGTGACATATTAGTAATTATGTGGTGAGAAATGTACAGTCAATCATTTCATCATTTCAATGTTGAAAGATGTAGAAAATAGGGCTGCACAATTTTAGAAAATAGTGCAATGATGTTAACAATTGTGATATGTGCTTATTTTCTTCCTCATCTGTGCATGCATCACTCTTTGACCTTTAGAATTGTGGGTAATATCATTAGTGTTCAATGTGAACATCTGCAGCCATAAGTCTCTGTCCAACAAGCTAAGATCACATTCATGTGTAAAATGCAAGTTCAACATGCAAGTGAATATATTAGCCAACAATTATTGCACTCCTAACAGTGCTTGGCAATCTGAATATTGCACAAACTAATATTGCGATAACCAAATATCAGCAATATATTGTGCAACTCTAGTGAAAATCATCAAGTAAAACCTGATTGACAGAATGTGGTGAAGCTTTTCTTTAGACAAATAACAGATTTGCTAAGTGATGAAACTGTGGATGTGTTTCATTAGCCACTAAGGGCTAGCTATGAAACAGAATCATCGACAGCCTGTGAACCACATTTTAGATATTAATATAATCTGAAATTTCTGCTGGAACTGTAAGTTTTGTAAAAACATACAAGATTGTTTTTACATAGATAATGTCTCCATGTAAAAAACTCAGTGGTGACGTGTTTATGTGTGAACTTACACGGGCCAGAAGAAGGTGGCAGCTTTCAGTCCCTGTCTGAGGGCAGTGATCCAGATCTGAACGAAGAAACTCTCGGTTAATTATTACGATGTTTCAACTGATATAAAAGTGTTAAGAGGAAGCTAATAACTGTTCTATTAGAATAATAAATTTTTTCAGATTTATATTTCTCCCAAATTTGTGTTTATTTTGTCTCTAAGAATGTTTTTTCAATTCATTACAGACACATTTATTGCCTCCCCTGATAAATGTGTGCAAAAAGCTGAAAAATGAATGAATTTTTAGAAACAGAATTACAATATCAAGCTGAAAAACTGAGAAACATCCAAGTTTTAAGTTGAGGACATTTGTTGAGTGGAGAAAACAAAAAATCCCATATCACAAAGTAACACAAACATTTATTTTGTTTGCTTGTTTAATCTCATCAGCAACTTGTAATTACGAATCCACAACTTTCTGTTTCCCTGGGGAGTAAATATGATGTGACACGGAGCAGAGGCCTATTTGTTTTGGTCGCTGACAGGGAACCATATATCCAGTGCACAGGATGACCACTGCTACAAAGTGTTGCTATAACAACCATTAACCATCTGCTATCTTTACACATCTGTACAAATGTGAAGGATCAACTGAGTCTAAGTATGTTTAGACTCAGTTGACCCTAAAGACAAATGCTGGGCCCCTGCAGGGACTTACTGGTTGTCCTCCCCACCAGCGGTGGCTCAGCTTTTCTCTGCTCCTCAGGTTGAATGTTGCATCAAATGTTGGGTCATACATGGAGTTTCCAATGATGCCATGAGACTCTGGATAGAGACCCTTAAATGAAACAATTGGTCATATATCAGTTATGCCAGCTGTTTTATTTACTTATTTAAAAACCAACTAAGTATTATGTTGTGCAGATATTAATATTTGTAAGGATAAACTGAAATCGTACTCACTGTTGCTATTGAATAGAGGTTTGGGAAGGTTTTGGAAGGATAAACAGGCCTCATGTAAGGAGCGTGGGTTCCACATGTTCCTAAAGAATAACAATTTTTCAATTTTCTGATTTAATAGACAATCAGCCATGGATTTAACACAATATACAAAACACAAACTTCTGTTAAAGGCAACTGTTTTTATGCATTATATAATAATTATTAGTAGGAATTGGTTGCCCACCAACCAATTAAAATACAAGAAAAATAAATAAATAAATAAAATGCAGGGAATGGACAGATTTATTTTGTAGAAAGCAGGTTATCTAGTCTCTCAGTAAATTTCCCAGCATCAAGCAAGGGAAACTTCCTGCACCGCACATTCATAACAAAGACCAGTTGATTCAGCTAAGAGGGATTTGGTTGTGCTGATAATGTTGTCCATACTTCATAAAATAGAAGGATATCATATCAAGATGCTAATTGAAGCTAATAAAAAATATGCTAACTCACGGAGTTTTTCGATGTTGGGTATGATGGAGCTCCCCCTCTTCACGTAAGACGCTCTGAACCCATCCACAGACAGTATGATGAGAGGTGGGCGCGCAAACCTGCACACGGAACAAAACGGAATGTGAAGGGTAAAACTTTGTCAGGCTATTGTAATCTCATCCCTCTCTTCAACACTGTGAAGGTTTCAAAGGTTAAACATACCCAGCAGGACACTCTGGGCTCCTGATTTCCTCACATTCATCCTGCAGCCAGGAAGTGTCTCCTGAAGGGATCCGAAAGGGAGGTGAAATGCGGCAGCAGCACATTCCAGACAGCCGAAACATTCCTCAACTTTAATAAGTTAAGCAACTACTACAGGGGACAGGTATTTGCCCCATTAAACACTTTTTAAGCTCTTTTTTCCCAAATAAATAATTCTTATTAGACAGACATATCTTGAGTAAGTTCAAAATCAAATTCAAAGCCACTTCATTTGATTTGTTTTTCTTCATGATTTCAGTGAATGACACCGATATTTAACAAGCTTTCATTTAAACTTTCTTTAAGGAGAAAAGGGTCCAATCAAGTTGTTAAATCAAGAATTAAATGTAATTGATTACATTTTTGTAAAGCTGAGTAGGTTTTACAAATCTCACCCAGGTCTGACCAGTCCAGTGCCTTCAACAGATCATGCCTAACAACATGAAGTAGGCTATAAGATCTCTAACAAGAACAAATCATGCCCTGATTGAAAAAGATCAAAAACAGAAAAGAAACAAATTCTCTGACATTGATCAGTCTGGAATGGGCAATGAAGCCATTTCTGATGTTTTGGGATTCCAGAGAACCACAAGGAATCATATCTGATATAGATAGCATATTTATAACAACTGAAGTTAACATATCTATTGATTGTGCTCAATAGATATACATAATATTGCCCCTTTAAAAAATATCTAACATCAGCCGATACCGATGTTGATGCTGATATATCACGCATCCCGATCACAGACTTGACAGCAGTTGCTGCCGAGAGTGGCTTAGGGAGTAATTACCTTTTCAGAAAGGCTCAGGTTGGTGTAGTTTTCTCTGACAAAGACATCATCTAAAAACATTTTTTTTTTTGTTTTTTAGGTAAGGTGGACGCCCCAAACCTCTGCACAGCTTCCTGTAGTTGGTGCAGCAGTCTCCCCTGGCGAGGCAGTCATCAGAGCAGTGGCAGGCGTGCTGTTCGCTCCGGGTCTCGCCGCATCGATCCCTGCTGCATTCATAACCTCCGTCTGTACGCAAAGAGGAACAGGAAGCAAGAAGGGAAAACCGCTGACTCAACAACCTTTATGGAGTTTTAACTAATCTTAGAGATTATCATGAAAAGCACGATATCACGGTGCCATTGGGAGGCGGCGGTGTGGCTGGGCAGTGGGCAGGCAGCCTGGGGTCTATGGTGACTTTTGTGGCTTACAGAGTTTTCCTTTTGAACAGAGCTTTTATTTGGGATGTGACACTGTCAGGGAAAACTACATCATGGCTTTAAGGCACATGCAGGATTAAAGTGGCCAATCAGCAGTGAGCCAAAGACCACCAGGCTGAAGGAGGGAGCATAAAATCAGACCACCAGTGCTGGAAGTAGCAGGGGGGAAATGTTGACACAGCAGAGGGAGAGAGAGAAAAAACAGCAAACCTGTTTCAGCATCATTAGTGCAGCTCGCTCTTCCAGCTCATGCAGCTGAACCATCAGCTTGATAGTTTTCTGTTATTTCTGTAATGAATAATTCTTTCATGTTAAAAACTATTAAGAGATTACATCTCTGCTGAACAAATGTTCCTCTTTCAAACCCTGTTATTTGTTGCTATGATTTTATGCACTGCTTCAGGAAAATCACAGTCTTTCAATAATTGAAACGTTTCGATCAGTAGTGCTGTAAATCCAGCTTCAAACGGATGACTGACGAAACGAAAAGGCCTCCAGTTTTTATGCACGTAAATAAAATGGTACGGTATTGGAAGTTCAGGACGGAAAGCAGCTGCTTTAAAACAGGCAGACATGAAAACTAAAATGGATTTTAATGATCAGCTCTGCTGAGTGGAGGCTGCATGGTGCAAGTATCAGTACTTTCTGTACAGTTTGCATATTTTCTCTGATCATATGGGGGTTTTTTGTGGGTGCTCTGGTTCCTCCCATAGTATAAAGACATGACTGCTAATGAACTATGCTCTTTAATTGTTTGTCAGTATCAATGTTTTTTTCGGTGTCTCCGTGTTTCCAAGGTGAGCCTCACCTCTCACCTCATGACCTGGAGGCAGGAACCAGATTACCTGACCTGGCAGGGATAAGCAGATATAAACTGTGGCTGGATGATCTCAGCTGTGTTTTCAGAATCGTCGGCAATTTTTTTGCAACCATCTCATATGGTAGAAGCCAGACCTGGCTGGGTATTGCTCACAAGTAATTAGAATGGCAGCAGACCACATTTGTTGATTGACTGGTGGATTTACATCACTGACAACGTCTCAACTAACGTTTTCAATCTGCAATAAGAACCATAGCTGTTGGTGAGACAGGGAACTGTAAATAGATCATTCCATTGTCAAACGTCAAGGTTTAAACGTTTTTAGACCTCATTCAGCGTCAGCTGGACTGGGCAACCCACAAGACCCAAATATACCGAGAGATTTCAGAGAAACTCGCCGCTCAATGCAACACACACACAAACGACATTATCGGAACATCAACTATAGCTCCTGTACACTCATGGTACAAATTTCCACATCCCCCTCCCACGTCCCTGTCCATGTTCACCCCCACATGGTGAGGAACACATTACCAATGGAGACACACCCAATGTGGCTATAATTAAACCAGACAGTAACTGGTGAGACTTCATAGCTAATACTTGTGTTAACTCTATTTTTTTACAAAGTAGTCCAGCATCCAGGATAACTTTCTATTGGAAAACAACCCTTCTTTCCGTGTTTCCCTGGCAGTACCCCAGTACTCCACTAACTAGAAACTTTAAATACCAGGTGATGAGGACAGACTGTGATCTGACCTGGATCACTGAGGAGTTGCTGCAGCTCTGTGAGACCCAGCAGAGAGATGAGAGGAAAAATGCAGGAGTGATAAGGTCTTGAGGTGTCACAGGTTAGCATGAAGGCATGTTTGTGTTGCCGTACCTGTCCGGAGGCAGAGCTGGTTGAAGTCAGAGCAGCAGCTGTTGTAGGTCTTACACAGGTTGTCACAGCGACAGTTTGGGGGCTCGGCCTCCACCAGCTCATAACATCTGTTCCTGCAGGAGCCGGAGGTTGGTACATAGTGTGACCCGGAGCGAACTGCCGACAGGAGAAACAGGAAGAATATCTAAACCTCAGGTCGTCTTCATCATCCACGTCTTCCACGGATATGAACGAGATGAAATGAAGTGCATCTGGTAGAACATCAAGTCCTGTCACATTTGTGAAGTGTCATTTTTTTTATGCTCCTGTTTCATACAGGAGCATATTGTATGTTGGAATAAAAGCTGTAAACTTTACAGTGTTTTCCTGCATCAGGGATTGGTTGGCATCATTTGCTCTGATGACACTGTTCCATCTTTTATCCATACTTACTGATCAGATCGGGGGTGTTCAGTTCTCCAAACTTCAGTGTGACCCCTTGATCTCTCCAAGTGGTCAAATACTTATGTCAACAAGTTCTGCTGCAGAGGTGTACAGTGCTGTTATTGGCTGCTGTAATGACAGAAGCCACACTGCTGCACAGTTTATACATGAAGAACTAATGATGAGTTTTAAGGTCAGGTCTGTGGAGAAAGCTCCAGTTTTCAGGAGTTTTCTAGTTCTGAAGTTTGGATGCTTTGTCAGCTGACGTTGTTCTGAAAACTCAAGCAACGCTTTTACAGATTTTCCATGTTTTGTTTTACCACAGCCTTATTCCAAATTGTGATAAATGAATCTCTTTCCTCAAAAGGTTGAAGAGAAACATACTGTAGAAGCAAACTGATGTGAGGAAGCTCATTGGGGTAAGATACTACGCTAAAGCTACAGCCACAGCCACAGCTTAGCTTCTCATCTATTTCTTAATGTCTTTACATTGAGGCCTGGTGTGTTGCTTTTAGAACTTTTCGTTCTTTTTAGGTGATTTAATGGTTCTATGGGGTTGACCTGCATGTGCTTATTAATACTGAACTCTGCTTAATAATTAGTAATGATTTAACAATTGTGCAGTTCCACTTTACCAGAGGGCCAGATTGCTTTGGATTGCTCTAATAAATTAAATCATTATTTGAAAGCTATATTTGAAATTTGCTCAGGTTATCTTGTCTTGATGATCTTAAACATGAAATCTGAAAGCAGGTAAATACTTTTTCACACCGTTGTGTTTGCTAGGTCGTGTATTTTATTATTTCCTGGTAGTTGTGACAATGATTATGTTAGATGTACAATAAACACATGCTGAGGTGAAAGAAACAGAATTTAGAGCAGAACTGGGCACTGGATGATGTGTTTGGTTGGGGAATCATGGGAATAAAATCATAGTGCCGATGTTTGATTAAAGTCTGTCTTGGTTTGAGAGTGGACAGACTTGGAGGAATAAGGGGTGGAGAATGAACTCCAATGCTCTCCTTATGCTGACTGTAGGCTGATCAGCATAATACACTCTGTCTCTGTGAGGGAACATGAGTCGACCAATCACAGCTTCCCCTGGCTCACAGAGATCTGTTGTAAACTCCCCGCCGTGCTCCACTCCCTCGCTTCGTTTGCGCTGGCACACACTCCTCATCCTGAAGTCAGCCAACTGTAGGAGAAATGTGTGCGAAGCTGCAGGTCCCGTCTGACCGCATGTTGCTTGCGTTTTCAGGACCCATCTAATGAAAACAGCCAGGGTTGTCGTGGTAACTGATGTTTGTGTGTCTCAAGTGAAAATATATTGCTTTCTGAGAGTGAGAACTGTTCACGTTCTCATTAGAACCAGGAAGACAGAGCACACCAGCCCAGTTAAAGTCCTTCCACTGAGAGAATAGAGAAGATTATAAACCACAGAACGGCTTTACACCACAATACATGAAAGGTCTGCTGTTGATCAGCCTTCCTCTGCATCTCCAGAACCAGAATTCAGTTTTTATGCTTCTGTTTCAGTTCAGTAACTTAGTGCCGAAACACTAAGTTACTTTTTAAATCAAGGCTAAAACCCCACCTGTTAGAGCTGCTATTCATTCATAACACCTGTATGGACTGATATATTTGGTGTATACTTGCTTGTTGATTGTGATGAAGCCATTTGACAAAATATAATGTTTATTGCTTGTTTCATAATTGGTTACAGTTTTATGTAGAGCACTTTGAACTGCCTTGTTTCTGAGATGTGCTCTGCAAAACTTGACTTAACTTCCTTAAACAGAATATTTCAGAAAAATAAATATTCATATTTATAAAAAAACAAAAATATGTAAAATGTTTAAATTCATACTTTATGTTGATCCATCATTCAAACTCCAAAAAGCTCATTTCAGAAAGTAGCAGCTGTTTTAAGATTACAGTCAGCTCCAACATTACATACATGAATTCATCAAATTAACCATAAAGCAGCACAGTGTGTAGATAATGTTACAGAACGTCCTTCAACCTCATCTTAACTCAAAATAATACAAAGAAAACATAAGTTCTCTCTCTGAAAAATGTTCATGTTGCGTTTGATTCCAGTCGAAAGAAGCTGCAGAAATCTGCAGGGAATCTTGTTGTTTTTGCTTCATGTGGGTTTTCTGCTGCTCAGCTCTTCACATGTTCAATATCTGGTAGAACATCAATTCCCAGCAGGCTGAGCACCACCTGCCTGGCCTCTGTGCTATTCTCAGTTTATGCTTTCAAACCACAAATTTGATTTTTATAACTTCTGACATGATCAAGCCAAAGTAGGAATAATCCTCCACCTCAGGTTTCATGAACATTTTTCCCTCACACACGAAAGATTACAGACTGAGATTCTTATGTTTTTATAGCTACATAGAAAACCATGTTAGTTTTAGCCTATTGCCACCAAGCTTAGACACAGCAGGGAGCCTCTCTGCCTCGCTAGTGTTAGTTTTTCATCTCACGTCTTCAGTCCAAGCTGAAACCAGCAGATATATGGTTAGACGTTATTTTTAATTAATTAATTATATTTTTGCAGAAAAATATTATGCCAACAATGACAAAGTTCTGGTATGGTATTAGCCTATTTTTAATTTTCAGGGACATGAAAACCACCTAATTTCAACATACAAACTAATAATTCTTACATCTTAGAGCTCATCATAAATACAGAAACGTATTTATTTATTTATTTTCAGAAATTTATTTAAATGCTTTCACCAGTCAGTCTAGCTCAGGGGTGGGCAATCCTGGTCCTCGAGGGCCAGTGTCCTGCAACTCTTCGATGTCTCCCTGGTCCAACACACTTGACTGCAGCTGAATCACCTCCTCAGTGCAGTCAGGTTCTCCAGAGTCCTGCTAACGACCTCATTATTTGACTCAGGTGTGTTGAAGTAGAGACACATCTCAAAGTTGCAGGAGACCCGCCCTCAAGGCCTGGAGTTGCCCACCTCTGGTCTAGCTAATCTAAAGGATACATTTTTTATAACCTTTTAGTTGTACACTGGTATTTATAGGACGTAATAGCGCCCCCTGCTGTAAGTAGATGGCACCATACGTGCAATGAAAGCGTCAACAGTATTGATCATCATTTAAGGAAACTATAATGATCAGCAGGTTCTGATGCGCAATCCTGATTTTTTGCTAAAATTCTATTATTTTTCTAATTAAGTCATCGTTCTTACGAATAAATAATAATAAGAAGAAAGCACAACTAATACAACAACCTTTAGTGGAGCATTACCTGAAGCCTGTCTGTTTGGATGTGTAGTCAGAGCTAAGAGTGGTCTCAGTATCACAAACTTCTTTCATAATTTCATAATTATAATTTCAGCCATTGTTTACATCCAGATTTACCACGTATGGCTTCTGCTGGTGCAGAATTATGATGCATGTCTCATGTCAGGTAACATAAACAATTGGATACATCTGATTAGGTACCACATACGGAAGAGGCACAAATCAGATTTTTATTTTTATTTTTTAATTGGGCTGTTCAGACCGCAGTGAAAATGTGGGATATTTGTGTGATCATAGCTGTAGACAGTACTACCAATATTTTTGTTTCCATCTTTAATAGGGCAAATCTGGACTGACACTGCTCAGCAACCAGACCCACCATGCTGTTCTTCTGGGTTCTTCAGTGTTGTCAGTTGAGACTGTTAAATTATAGCAAAGCATCTCAGTTAAAGACTGGACTTTGACTAGGTCACTCCAGAACCTTCTTTTATTTTTGTTTCGGAGGTGAACTTGATGTGCCTACCGTGCATAAGTTTAAAGTCATGAATGGAGAAATATCAAAATGTATGTTTTCATTAATCTGGAGAGTAAATCTGTTCCACCATCTACCTCCATGTTTTAATCTTTTCCTTTAATAAAATCACCATTCACAAACTGCATTTGTTGTCTCTGGTTATGTTCGTCTGGTATTAACATCTCTATATGATTTGAACTGGGCCAGAATTTTTTTTTTTAGAAAGTCCATACAAGGGCAGTTGCCCAGGGCGCCAAACACTTTGAATGTGTGCTTTGCATTGTACTTTAAAAGTCATAGGCCCATAATAGATACATAATAGATACATTATATTCATCAAAATCTTGGGATTTTGATGAATATAAACAATATTCAAGAATTGGAAATTAGGATGTTATCTGCATTTTTGGGGGAACAACATGAAGCTATGGCTATTATGCATCAATAGTGTATATGACTACTTCCTAATGTATTATAGAATTAGTAGAACAATTTGTCTGTCAAGAAAGGCCATAAAGCCTGGCTACAGTCCAGGAGAACACACCCACACCTCTGGTTCTGAAACATTATCATTTTTAAGGGGGTGAATACTTTTTCACAGCTGTAAGATCCGTTGAATTTTGGCTTTCTAAGAGCTGAGGCTGTTTTATTTACAGCTCTGATTGAAAACTGTCCCTGTGTTGTCATCTCATGCTGATGTCCTTTCCTACATCGTAATGATGGGGTCCACAGCCACATGCGGCTCATTAACAGGCAGCAGGAAGGAAACTTTTCAATGACACAATCCCAGAGGAGGCTCTGTTCTACACACACACAAACACGGAGTTCAAGGCCAAAGTCACGGTGTACTCACACTCCGTCCTGGTTGCGGCTCCGTCCTCTCCTGAGCGCTTGGGCCGGCCGAAGACAAAGCCCCAACACAGGTCCGAGCTGCACAGCACCGACAGCATCCACACACACTGAGGGGACAGCAACCATCCTGGCATTACAACACACTCTCACACTTCAGCTGTTTAACTTCTAACTGCAAGACAAAATGCAAGCTAACTGCTCCCGCTGCAGGAGGCTGCTCCTGCACCCCGTCACACTCCACACACACCCCGGGCAGTAGGACCACCCACATGCCAGAAGCTTGCAACTGACACACACACATCCAGAATGGTACTGCAGCTGGAAATGAGAAAGCAGAGGAAATATGCCAAACCCAGGCAGAGGCGCGCAGAGCGACGCAGCAGCATGTCTTACCGTACCAGTTTCTGCAGCAACATGCTTCCCCCTGACAGCAGTCCTGAGCTGAAGGTCCAAGAAACTTAAGGAGCCACTGAGGAGGAGGGAACTTAAACAGAACCGGAGGGAGGGGCCGGAGGAGCGGACCGGAATCCTATTGGTGTGGGTGTGGAGGAGGGGCTCCTGGCTGAGCTGGAGGTTATGGGGGGGTGCCAATGGGCCCCATCCTTGATTATATGCTTCTCTGCAAAACGGTTGCAGAGAATTTTACATTGTCAGAATTTTACATTTTTTACATTATGTGAACAGCAAACCTGCAAAGTGGAAGAAATCTGAAAAAAATCTGAAAGTGTGAGTTTGTGTTGTGCCCCACTGAGTCCAGAACCAGTAAAACAGTGAAGCAGCTGTCTGCAGGTCTGTGGGACAGTCTCTACCAAGCAGCTCAGGCTGTCAGATATGATGGACAGCTTCTGGAAACCAGGCTCTGTTAAATTTAGGCCTGGCCAACAGTGTCCAAAGTGCGGCCTGCGGGCCGTTTGTGTCGCCAGTATCAAATAAATTTGTCCCACAAATTTGTTGGTTGGTGGTTGAAGCAGATGGAGACTGTAGTTTTCAATCAGGATAAAACTCCCACAAATTAAAATCTTCTCTAGATAATCACAAAGCATTCATCTTTTAATAATCAAGCTTTCTGTTTTCCTTTTAAATCAGACCACATCTATCCACTCACTGATGCACCAGCCAAGACTTTGATGCACCTAAATCTGCTTTCAGTTACATTATTAAAACTTGGCTATATACAGCAAGTGTTTTCTAACAAAGAGTCATGTTATTGTAGGGAATAGATCCAATCTTTTTCATTTCAAATAAATTATTAAAAAATTATTAAAAGTTTTGGATCTACAATGATTTACACATTCCTTTCCTACAAAAATATTTCAGTTAAGATTTCAATTCTGATCAGAACCCAAATGAGTCTCTCACACGTTCTCCTTCTGGATCTACTAAGGAGTAGAATTCATGTTCCCAATCCCAATCAACTACAAGAACTTGCAGCAGCAAAGCAGTCCCAGATCATCACACTGCCACCACCATGTTTAACAGCAGTTATGATGTTCTTGTGTCCACAGAATATTTTCCAAATATTTTTGAAGTCTTATGAATCATACAGATATTTACACGTCTTTGTGTTGTTTTGGGTCAGCAGTGGTTCTGATCCTGGAACTCGTTCATGGAGGCCATTTTTCCATTTTTTCCCAGGCTCTGTTCCTTCTTGTTAATCCATGAACTCTGACCTTAACTGAGGTGGTGTAGCCTGCAGTCGTTCTCCTGAAGGAGGCGATGAGGAGCTCTTGGACAAGTTTCAGTAAGTCAGCCACTTCTAGGAAATGTTTGCATTATTCCATATGTTTTCCATGTGTGCATAACAGCTCCCACTGTAGTTCTCTGGAATCCTAAAACTTTTGAAATGGCCCCGTAACCCTTTCTAGACTGATAGCTGCTCTTGTTTCTCATCTATCTGTCAATTTATTTAGATGTGTTGCTGTCTGTTTTTTTTTTTTTTTTTGTATACTTCCTGTTGTCAGATATTTCTACTTATGTGATTCATTGATTCTGAAGCCTGGCAGGAATCAAGTCTGGGTGCATCTGATGAAACTGAACAGAAAAAAAAAAAGTTTAATCAGTTAATTTATCATCTAAGAAGTTGGAGATTGATATTTTTTTATATAAACCCAGGTTGTTTTTGAGAGCTTTGTATATATATATATATATATATATATATATATATATATATATATATATATATCGTTAAGGGATGAAATGCTCTTCATCCCACCGTATTTTATTGGTTTCCCTTGATCTTTCTGACCTCATTTCCCCCATAGTTTTTCATAAATCATTGAAAAGCTCACAATCCAGTATAATCAGCAATCTCCCTATGTTCAATAATTCAATAATTTGACCATTCTGAAATTAATTCACACATTCATCTTTAATCTTCATAAAAAAGATAAAAGATTCTTTAATATAAGAATCTTATATCATGGTTGTCAGAGGAACAAGAAGCTGCTTCTGCATCAGTTTGGGTTTAACAAAAACATGATCATCCATTCAGTGACTTTCTAACGGAATCTGACCTGTTTGCTCTGTTAAGGAAAATCCAGATGGATGTTCAGATCTTTCATAATGAATCTCTGATAAAGATCACTGTATGCTGTGGATTTTATTAGTGCCTCAGAATGCTGCACTGCACTGATGCTGTTATTCATGCAAACGGAGCCGCAACCCACTACAGAGTGCAGACACTGTACAGTTCAGGGACAAACCATTTAATTTTGTTCATTTTAAACTCTGTTTTGCTGGAACTTGGACGAGCATATGAATTTCATAATTTGTTATTTAATCCAAAATGGAACCAAAAGCTCTATACTCGGCCTCCAACACGATTACTTGGGTAAAAATGAAGAGCTGTGCTGAGAATGCTTTTCCTGCTCATTCAAACTTGGAACACATACAAACTAATCTGTGTAATTTTTGTTTTAATTCAGTAATTATATACTGGCTGTAACATGTTGCAGGTTCCACCACAACAGGAAGTAGATTTAAAATGTATGTCTAAATTGACATACATTTATGCATCAAAGTGTCTATAACCTTGATCAGATTATTAGAGAGGATCATAGGTGATGCTTGTTGGTGTGTTTGAAAGAAAGAGGGTTACATACATTTTCAGTTTTGATACATTTATTAAAAGGAACAACTGAGTTTTCAGTGCTTTTCAGTAACTTTCCAATCAGCCAGAGCCAATGGAGGGAAAATCAAGAGACAATTAAAAAAAAAACATCTCTGCATTGGGCCAGTCTCAATAGAACAAACGACTTTCCAAGAATAAAAAGAGAATTTATTTTCCTTCCAACAATTTTGAACCAAAACTAAAATGTCTGAACAATTAAAAACAAAGCTGCATATATATTTTACCTGCTGTGGTTTGGTCAGGTTAAAACCAGAACCATGTTCCTCTGTAGAACCAAAGCTAGTTTCAGACTTTCAGCTACAACATGCTTTACCAGCTGAAACAGAGAGTGGGCAGCAGAGCTGTGAGTGGCAGCACAGTGACTGTTTGAGACGATCTCTGGGATATCCTTGCTCTTCTCTGAAAGCTTTTATTGTTGCTGCAGAGAACATGAGGAAAAACGTAGATTATTCTGCTTATAGAAAACCGTTTGCAGAGAGCCGCTGCAGTTCTGGACCCATCTAGTTAAAACACAACAGCTTCTTAAATCAATGAGAGGCAACAGGAAACCGGAGGCATTAAAACAAAGCCCAGGGCGGCACAGAGCAGTCAGTGATATGGACCCCCAGGAGCCCGCTCCATGTTCTGTTTGACCTCAGGAGCCGCTGGCTGAGGTTTGGGTTGAGGTTCACTAGAGTGGTGGCTCCGCTTGGGAGGAAGAGACTCTGAGGTCAGCTAAGATTGTGTGTGTGTGTGTGTGTGTGTGTGTGTGTGTAGGATGTTAGAGGGTTCAACTGTTTGACACATCAGTCTCAGCTTAGTTCATGTTTCCTCTGATTCTACTGAAGCAGCTGCACCACACGTGGACACAAACGTGGACACACACGTGTGTGTAGTGGCGCCTGTCACACACATGCCTGCAAACGACCCTGAGTGAACCGCCGGCACCTGGGAGCCAAACGGGGTCCAGATGTTCAGTCGGACAGCGAGGGCGAGCGCAGGGACCTGCCGCTGGCCGGGCTGTTGCTGTAGGCGTACGAGTTGTCCCTGTCCCTGTCTCTGTCCCGGTCCTTCTCCTTGTCCTTGCTCTCGTGCTTGTGCTTATGCTTGTGTTTGTGCTTGTGCTTCTTCTTCTTCTTCTTGTGCTCATGGTGGTGATGGTGGTGGTGGTGGGCGTGGTCACTGCCGTGCTTGGAGGACAACAAGGGTGTTTCCTTGGAGAACAGCGGAGGAAGCGTGGCGGGCATGGCCAGTAGGGACTGCTCCACCAGCGGCGGCTCTTTACCTGAGCAGGTGAGGAAGATGAAGCTCAGCAGAGGAAGTGACATCATGTATGGTCATGGATCATCATGACCTCCTACCTGGAGTGGAAGGTCTCTCCAGCAGGTTGAGCTGGTGATGGATGAAGGCCTGACTGTCATGGACCGTCTCCATATCAATGTCTTCCTCCTCCATGGTGTTGAACTGCAACACAGAACGGCAGAACTGATCATTCAGTCTCCATCCATCAGGCTAAAGCAGAGAATCTAGGATGGAGCACATTCTATGTTTCTGCTCAAATCAAGTTTCATTTTCTTCTTCTACCTTCAGCTTCATAAAGTAGCTTTTATTAATAATTAATGACCTTGAAAGCTGCAGCATGTAACATAAAAAATATATCTTTACATATTTGTTAAAACTGTCACCATTCGTTTGGTATGAATCAGATAATCTGTGAGAAGATCGAGCTCCTCTGTCTCCTTCATGTGGTTCTATTGCCATCTCCAGAAATTAACAGTAACAGTCAATCAGAGCCAGGAGGAGAGTCTTAGCGATGTCAATCATTCGCTAAGACTGGCTAAATATTTGCTTGGTTGTAAAATATTTAACATAAAATTGGTGACCGCATGAATATTCACTCCTGGAGTCAGTATTTAGTAGTCGAACCGTTGGTGTGTACAGGACTCAGTCAGGGTTGCACGTCTGGACGCCGCAATGAATTTGTTCCTGAGTTTGTGGCAGGACTCTTTCATGTCCATTTAACACATTATTTTGTAGAAATCAATTTCCCTTTGACATTAAAAGAGTTATTTATTGTTGGAAAGTTAGTACAATTATGAGTAAAAAAGGGATTTTAATATTTTTACTCTTAAATGGAATAAAAAAATCCAAGTGAATGTTCTGCAGGAA